CATCTGACATTCATAGTTAACAATACGTTAAAGAACACTAATGCCTTGTCTCTGTACTATTCTGTACTAACCGCATTAGTAGTTCCACATAATTGACAAACGTCATATGGCAGGGATGCATCACTTGCTTTTCATACCTTGCACAAGGAAGGGAGAATGGAAGAGCCTGTGGATCTTCACTAAAGCCTCAGACACAATCCGAAAATTCCCTATTCGTCACACCAACAATTCTCCACTTAGGCGGACTTTCCTCCAATCTCACATTACTTAGATAAAGTGTATTATGACATTCTCCTCATCATGCACACTCCCAATTCACCTACACCCACGTGCACTGCGAGTTCTCTTCTCTACAGCACATACCACAGGCTCTGGATTCAGCCCCCATTTTTTATTTTGTTTTGTTTCTTTTTTATTTTCTTCTCTCTGTCTTTTCTGCCTCCTTTATTTGTTTATATTTCTTTATTCATTGAATCTTTTTGTCCTTTCCCCCCACTTATTGCTGCTTCCCACCCCGACTACCATCCCACCCCAACTCCCCAGGTGGGAAAGTCACCCCCAGGAATACCCTCTGCTCTGCTACAGCACTTGTTGCACTTTAAAAGGAATGGGATAGGCTGCTGTAGCTTCAGAGACAATTTTTATGAAACGTATGGGAGGTTCTGAAAAATGCATGATCCAGTTTATAGAATGTCCGACACTTCCTTACACAAGTATTTTTTAAAGCACCCTTTAGATTTGCAGTAACCCTTCCAGAAGCTACAGCCCCATTCATCTTGCTCTTCTGAAGCAAAGGCACCGAAACAAAGAGCCTTTTGAGAAAGATGTGTAACCCACACTGGCAGTGTCAGTCACTTTCTAGTGGTTAGTCCACATAAGAGGTTAAGAGTTTACTACATCTCTCAGCTTAGGGAGTTACTCCTTTAGCTCAATGGGTAAAAAAATCCAGCTGTTAGTATCAAAGGTCCTGGGTTGAAAGCCCGCTGATTGCCCATGGTACACTTCAAAACGTTCTGCTGTTCTGTTGCTATAATTCAAAGGTGTAGACTTGACAGAGCTGCAGCTGTTGGGGAATATCAGAGGAACCAGAAAAGTTGGGCGAGAAGGGGCTTGGGTTCCACTCACAGCTCTGCACCGCTATCAGCCATCGGCAGCTCTCAGATCCTTTTACTCTTCCTGGAGAAAAACAATACGCAGCCCTCTCTACCTCCCCAGAACCATCCACAGCCCAACAAGGTACTGACCTTAGCATAGAGATATGCTTCATCCACTGGGAATTTGCTGGCAAACATTGTCTCTATAAAAGCCTGTCAAACAACAATATAGATCTTTCATTAGCATGTGATCTGAAGGGGAGGAAAGAGTCTCCTTTGACTTCACTTTCCTTGACAAAAATATTCAAGGTTATGAGGATGTAAAGAAAACTGGACAGTCCCTCTTTCTCACCCTGGTCTGTAATACAGGAACCAGAGGAAAATAGCAAAAGAAGGGGAAAGAATGGCATGAGGAAGCAGGGGAGATGGTGGGAGCACAAAGAAATATCCTTGTTCTGGAGTGGATACCATTTTTAAAGGACATCAAATATGCAAAAACTCTTTGGTTGTCTTGACTGGAATTATGTCAAGGTTGAGCACTCTAGCAGTTCAAGCAGCAGGCCTCATACCCCTTGTGATATAGGGGAGGGAAGTAGAGTATGGTTAACAGAGAGATCAAGAAATTGTGCCTCCATGAAGGGAGATCAGGCAAGACTAAAGTTACCACTCCAGCCCAGCTGAATTTGACCCAGTTTCCTTTTACATGAGCGTACCAGTCCATGCTACCCCACACTCAAGAAATGACTGCCTTTGTTTACTTGATGGGGTCACATCCCATACCTGTGACGTCACCCTTCCGGCAACCTTCATCCTCTCAATCTCTGCAGGGGATTTGATCAGGCGGAGTTGTTGTACTAGATGATGAATAGCTCGGATGCGGTTTTTGCTTCCAGCTTTGATCTCGGCCAGAGGCTGCAGGTAGTCAGAGTGGAGCTGTGTGTGCACTGGCTTTGCAGAATCATACCAAACCATGTTTGATTCACCTGAGACACACAAAACAGACACAGACTAATATTAAAGATATTTTGTGGTCACTGTATGAGCGAACTCCTCCTAGACTAGAAAAAGTTGAAGATGCGACATGTCATCTGAAAGGTAATTTCCCCTAGATTTGTAATATGGCCTCATACCTGACATATGACCTCAGTGTAACATGATACTAATGATCTCCTTATATCTTAACAGGTTAGTAACATACAAGTAAACAAGTCTATCTGGGTTTTGTAGATTTAATAATAGTTTATGAATTTAAAAGAATACACTCAATAAATAAATAGCCATTTCTATAAATATTAGTTATTTTCCCCATATACATTTCCTCTTCAGAGAGAAAGCTGCACTAGTGGGATACAGTAAAGTGGGGGGAAATGTTTCATGACAAAAACATAACCTTGCAAGATTGCATGAGAATTTAGATTCCTGAGCTTAGAAGCCCTGTTTGATCACAACGGAGAACCCATAAGACAAATCCACCTCTTGTTAATGACCAGCTGGGGCAAGGGTCAATAACAATTATGTTTTGGGATGGACTGTTTGGAAATCCTGTCTCCGGCCTTCCACTGAAGTGAAGTTCCTCAGGAAGAATATAATTATCCACATTGAAATCTGCCTAGAACATTGGGATCAGCAGCACCCCTAGTCTTGAAATGGGATTTTTTTTTAAAATGACAATGAGAAGTCAGGACCTCACATTTGCATCTCTACATGTCCAGCAATTCAGCAACCCCTTGATTAATTCCAAAAAAGTACTTACCACCCAGGCACACTAGACAGGATAAAAAATACAAGGGAAATAAACTCTTGTGCTATGGGGGCATAAGGGAAGTTTACAACAATTTTTCTCTCTGTGCAGTTTATTCTATGATAGTCCACTAAGGGGTATCCTGCACCTTCCTCTGCAGCATCTGGTACTGGCCGTTGTCAGGAACTAGACGGAAACAAGTCTAACTCCTGGATTCCATTTTTCTTCTCTTGTTTTTTCAGGTTTTTTTAAACATAATGTTATACAGTAACTCCCCACTTAACGTCCTCTCGCTTAACATTGTTTCGATCTTACGTCCCTGCTCAATTACAGAACATGTTCCATTTAAAGTTGTGCAATGCTTTGCTATAACATCTGGCTGCCTGCTTTGTCCTCAGCTGGCAGCCCCCCATCAGCTCCCCAACCCTCCCCCACCCCCAGTGCCTCCCGCCCACTGGCAGACCCCGCAGATCAGCACCTTTCCTCTCCTCCTCCCGCCTCCTGCCCACGGCAATCAGCTGGTTTGCTCAGGAGGGAGGGGGAGGAGCGAGGACTCAGTGCGCAGGCTTCCCTCCCTCCCCTGCCTCCCGAAAGCCACAAACCAGCTCATTGCCGTGGGCAGGAGGTCGGGGAGGGAGGGTCGCAAGCCAGCTGATTGCTGCAGGCAGGAGGGAGGGGGGAGGAGCGAGGATGCGCACGCCTCCCCCATTCCTCCCCTGCCTCCTGCCCACGGCAATCAGCAGGCTTGTGGCGTTCAGGAGGCAGGGGGAGCCTGCGCACTGTGTCCTCACTCCTCCCCCCTGAACGCTGCAAGCCAGCTGATTGCCATGGGCAGGAGGCAGGGGAGGGAAGCGGGAGGAGCAAGGACATGGTGTGCAGAGTAAAGGGAGAGGAGGCAGGGGGGAAGAAGAGGCAGGTTAAGGGTGGAGGTTTGGGGGAAGGGGTGGCATGGACAGGCAGAGGGTTGAGCCCCGTCCCTTGGTGCTTGCAGAGTAGGGGAAGCTGCCACTGCGCACCATGCTTCTCCTAGCCTACAGCACCTTCAGCCTCCTTACCTGCCTCATTGTCTCCAGCGCCAGTGGGCTGTGCCTGTGTGGGGTAAGGCGGAGGCACCTCCCAACTATAGTACTGTACGGCAAAAAAAATTTCCCTGGAACTTAACTCCCCCTCCCCCATTTACACTCATTCCTATGGGGAAATTGGATTCGCTTAACATCGTTTCACTTAAAGTCGCATTTTTCAGGAACAGAACTACAACGTTAAGTGAGGAGTTACTGTATACAGAGAAAAAGAAAGAGGAGAGGTTAAGATAGGAGTGGAACACCCCTTATCTTCATCAAAACATTTCTATGGAGACCCCAGAAAACATTAACAAAAAACATTTGCTTAACAGAGATAGTCATCTAATACAGGGGTTTTCAACCTTTTTCTTTCTGAGACCCACCCTCAACATGCTATAAAAAAATCCAGGGCCCAGCGGAGAGGACTTGGGGCTCCAGGCCAGGGGTAGGACCATTGGGCATAGGCATAGTTTGACCTCTATTTTGGAGGGGCAAGGACTGGTGGGGCTTGGGCCATCTCTGCATAGCAGGGTCCAGGGAGGAAGCGCCACCTCCACTTCCTGACTCACCTCAACAGGCCATCCACCTGTCTGGGATGTGGAGGGGACACAACCAAAAATATAACTCAAAGGAGGAACTCAGCTCAAAGTCTGAAAACCGCTCAGGGTTCAGGCAGGGGGTAGCTCAGAGTGCAGGCAGGGGGCAGTCAGGGGCTGTGTATGGACAGGGGGTAGCTAAGGGTGCAGGTAGGAGGTAGCTGGGGCTATATGCGGGTAGGAGAGTAGCTCAGATTGCTGGGAGAGAGGTAGCTGTGTATGGGTGGGGCGGTAGCTCAGGGTGCAGACAGGCGGTAGCTAGGGGCTGTGTGCAGGCAGGGTGGTAGCTCAGGGTGCAGGGACAAGGATAGCTAGGGGCTGTGTGCCAGGAGGGTTCTCTCTGCGTTAGCTGCTCCCCCTGCAGTGGCTGCTCCCCGAGGCTCTGCTGGCCCCAGAGCTGTGTTCCCCAGACCTGGGCGGCTCTTACCAGCTGCATGAGCAGTCAAAGAGGGCTGGGAGCTGAGGAGCAGCCGCAACCCCAGGCACCAGCAGCAGACGGGGAAATGCCACAGCTGCCCGCTCCATGCCACCACCAGCTAGAGAGCAGCTGCCCCACACTGCCTGGCTCCAGCTTCCCGCCTACTACCTGGCCAGAGGGCAGGGTCTGAGGAGGTAGTGTGTGTGTGGGGGAGGGGGAGCTGCCCCCAGACTGCCCCACTCTGGATAAGGCACTGCAGTTTGGGAGGGCAACAATCTTGTGCCCTCCCAACTCTGCCCATGGGCTCAGGGCTTTTGCTACATTGGGGCTTCAGCCTCACTGCTCCCAGATTCAGCCAAGGGGGGAGGGAGGAAGAGAGCTTAGGGCTTCAGCCCTGGGGTGGGGCTCCCACCTACAACCCCACCACTCCTGGCTTCAGGCCCAGGGGGAGTGGCACCAGGGATCAGGGCACTGAGTTTCTGCCATGGGGCCCCTCAGTCCCCCTGAAAGGGCTCACGGACTGCCAGGGGACCACGGACCCCCAGTTGAGAACCGATGCTCTAATAAAGGTGGAGCAGAATTGTACTTAATATATTTGGGCACATTTTGGGGACGTTAAATCAGGAGGTTGTCTAATAAGAGTGATCTTTTATAAGCGTCACTGTGTAATAGAATCTGGCATGATGCAGCAAATATACCACACACAATCCAGGAAATGAAGAGTTGTGAAGATGGATTTGTGTATCACCACATATGGTTTTTAAAGTGAATTTAATGCAGGTGAAGATGCTGGGCTGAGAGCCTTTAGAGACTGGAGTCCTCTAGTAAAAGACCAATACAGTATGGGCAGCAGCAGTGCAAGAATCCCACAGGCAACATCTGTGCTGACGTACTGCCCCATAACATGGAAGGGCCATATTAAGGGGAGAGGAGGAAGGTCAGTCTCTGTGGCCCAATGATTACTTAATTTCTCATGACACTGACAACAAAGGACCAATTAGTGCCACTTGTGTGTTCAGTGATATCAGTTCAGTAGTACCTGGATACAGACCACTAACCCACAAGCCATTAAAGAGCCACATACACAGGTTTTTTTCTATCACCACCGAACTGGGGCCAGATTACAACCAGTAGCTTAGACGAGAAAATCTCTTCCCATTCCCAGTGTCATGTGCCTCCCAATATGGGGTCTGGTTGGAACCAGTGACAGAGAACGTGGTCCCTATAACCTGGGTTCCATCTCATCTCGTTTCCATTACCTTTCAGTTTGGTCACCAGGTGTCTAATCTCCTCTAGGGGGTAAGCTTCATCCACTCCTGTCAAAGCTACTGCCCCATCGGTGCCTGATCGTGGCCCATCCCACAGCTCTCGGCTTGGATCTCGCCGTGGCACAAAGAGCATGGCCTTGTGGGATGGCAGTGCCTTGCCAGGCAAGCTCTGCAGCACCAGGATGCTGTCAGGCTCCTGGAAGCCACACAGGTACAGGAAGTTGGTGTCCTGGTGGAAGGTGTATGGGATGTCGTTGCTCATGTAGTAAGTGGGGTTGGATAGCAGAATCACTGTGTGGTCCACCCCACCCCACTCTTGCGCCTCTTTCTTGATCAAAGTCATCAGCTTGTGTCGGCGTAGATCATATTCCACCTGTGACAATCCCGGTGTTACCTCCCCTATGAATGAAAAACAAAATGGATGAAGTAACATTCTGATCTCATAATCACCTTCTCCCGCTCCTGCTCAAGGCTCTCCTTAAAACTCCATGCTATCTCGCTAACCTCATACCTCCCACTACACTGCTCTCCCATTCCTCTGATCGTTCTGACCTCAGAACCCACTTTCCACTGCTCTCCATCCTGCCTCTTTGATCTCAGATATCCACATCCTTGGTTCACTCTGTTCCTACACTGTGCAGGGAAAAAGACTGTTTTAAACCAATTAACTTTACTGCCCTAAAACTTCTGGGCAAAGATTGTGATCAAGCAACCTTAGACAAAAACTCAAAGCATTCTGGGAGCAAACTGAAGCCAGACAACAACTACTGGGCAGGGGAGGGGGAAAAGTGGTGGCAAAACAAGCTAAACTTTAACCCTGTTGGAAACCATCAGCTTTTATGGCATCTGGACATTGAACAGAACACTGTGGTGCTAAGTCTAGTGTTAATTTCATCAGATAAGGTTGTATTTCGACAGACATTCTGGTGCCATGTCAAGTCATATATTAGTTAGTTCTAAAGTGTAAAAGGCAAAGTCAGTTTTTACAGGTACCACATGAGATCAATCAGAGACAGAGAGATTGTCCTTGAATATTTAACCAATCAAGGGGCTCAATTTAGAAACAAGCCAAGCCTTCCAGGATGATGTCAGAGTATTTGACTGAGCAAAGAAAACTCCTACCATAAAAGACCTAATTTATCCCAATGATTAATAAGGTGGGATCTGTTGAACATGAAAAGGAGCTACACTTCTAATGATCCAACGATACAAATTCTCTCTTGGAACTTCACATGTTACCATCCTTCACTAGCAAAGAATAAGAAGTACTGTACACAAAACAAGAGACTGTCACTGAAACCTGAAACCAGAGGGAGGACACAAGAACAGCCTAAGTATTTTAAAAATATCGGAGATTAGTTTAACTATGATTTCAACTAACAGAATGCAAGTCTTAAAGGGTATTTTGGCTAATGTCCTTCCTATTTTGAGATATATATATTTTTCATATTCTAATGTCTATTTTCATACTTCTTTTCCTGTTTGTTATACTATGGAATAATGGCTCAATGATTAAAATTGCAACTCGTTGTGAGGTATTAGCTCACTCGGCTGCCTCCTTCCTTTCTAAAAAAAAATTTGCATTTGTGGTTTCTAGCCAGAGGAGAATTTGGGGGAACTAATTTTTCCTGAGGAAATGGACTTTGAAAAATTAGTGTTTCACTTTAATTAAATTCTAACTTTTAGAAAAAATAAAAACATATCTTAAAACCTGTTTGGTCTAAGAAACTTCATATTTGTTTTATTCCATAGCCCTAGAAGAGCAACGTGCACAGATCTATATATTTTATGGTCAGATACTGAATTCTGGAGTTATCCACTATGGAATTTTGAAATTCTGAATGCTCTATCTCATTCCAATGGGCTTCATACATGTCACTGCAAATCTGGTGATGTTTAAAAGTTGTTTGTAGTGGCTAATGCAATTTGGGAGTTCCACTGGCATTACAGCTGTGCCAACGGAGTTTGTAAACTCCTTTAGCCTTAACTATTCATTTTTAGGCTTTCAGAATGACTGCAAATGATCAATTATTATTTTAAATAAATCAATACCCATTTACAATCCTAGCTGTTTTAATAAGTTTTGTGAATTCTTAACTATTCGATAAACTTATTTTTTCCCAATACCAGCCTTGATTATGTGGGAACTGTTAACCAATAACAGAATTCTTAGCTTTATACAGCATCTCTTTTCTAGATTGTAATAAATTAAAAATATATTTTTACTCTTATAAATCTGTTTAATGCCTTACTTTTTGACATATTCACTTTCACTGATCTCCAGCACACCTTTCTGATCTCACAATGGTGCACCAATTTAATCTGCTCTCCTGTTCCCTACTGTACCTCTCTAATTTTAGAGTCACCTATGCCGGTGTCTTCCTTTCTTCCTTCTACACATCCCTCCATAGTTGGGGGAAAGGAGGAAAGTGCTCTTTAAATGTGTGCTGTCTTGTTTATCTGGAATTCTGCTTCCCAACCACTTCTTCTGAGCCACATCCCCTCTTTAAATCTCACTTCTTAAAACCTTCCTTTTCTCTTTGATTCACAGAGTATTGTCTATGAAACATTTCATAGACAATAGACAATAGAGTGTGAAAAGGACTCTAAAAATGAATTAGATTATATTGGCAGGATAGCCAGCTAAGGAAGTGTCACTGACAGAAAAGGTCTATAGTACTTGTGTCTGTGGCAAGAGGAAGACTGCATCGGAAAGGAAAATAAATCTGGAATGTGTCAATCTATGGATTAGGGTATAGGAACCTAGCCTCTCTCTAGAATCAGATGCTGTCTCAGAACAAGAGAATTCCACAAGGAATAAAATTACTGGAATAAAGTAAATATAAATGATAGCCAAGCTACAGACCCCTTTATATGATGCAGGCAACTAAGGTACTTCCTCAGAGAAACATATGATGGGTGCCACTAGTTAACTACCAATGGCTCAGGATCCTTACCTGGTTTGAGAAGGTGTGGATGTGTGAAGGAGCTGGGCTGGCCCAGGTACCGGTTTGGAATCTTCCTCTGCTGGGCAGGCTGGATGGAAAATCTCCGAAGGAAACAGGACTTGCAGCCTAAAGAAAAAGAAATGCACGGTATGAAGATGAAAGACCTTTCCAGGTATCATACAGCAAATTTATATACCCTCTAAAGATCTCACTCTTAGCACTGTTCATCCCACTTTTCTTGCAATGATAACTCTCCTTAACACTTTTCAAATTGTTGCTCGCATAGATGACTATAAAACCATTAAAATACAAACTCAAATAATGATTGATTTACAGATGAAATAAATATAGCAAAGTTATAAGCTTGGACTAGGATGAATAAATTACATTAAGTTAAAGTACATTGGAATTGACAAACCAGTGACTGCATGCTTGAAAGAGGAGAGTTGTGCTGGTTTGTGTGTGATTAATCTCCTCTATCTGTGCATGATGGGCATGCAGGAAAAATGAAATGTTTAATTTACCCACGAAAAAAGAGATTGCACAGCACTGTCAACCAACCTCCCCCATCATCCTGCCAATATGCTTTGATCATGTCCTCAAAGGCCCACCTTATGAGGGAAAGGGTAGTTCAGTTTTTACGGCCTTTGCAATCAATCTTTGTACTGAGACTGCCAACAAAAGGGCCAGTGAGTGTGATTGTGATAGATGTATTCATATGGAGGCTGCCTCAGAGTCTCCAGTTAGTACTTAACTAAGTTATTTACTATTATCCTAAACTGAACTGGAACTAGTCATTCAGAAGTGAAAGTCTCCATAGCCTATTCCCAATCCCAAGAGCCAGTCACACTGGCAAAACAGACAACTACAATAAGAACTAGCAGTGTGCAGAGAGGTTGGGGAACTGCATAGGAAGGGAAAAACAAGAACATGATAACTTTAATATCATTGAATATCCCTCATCATCTATTTATCCTCAAAACAACTTTCTAGATTTGGATTTTTAATTATTATTTTAGCAAGTCTGTATCACAGTCTTTCACTACTGGATAACTACTGTGGTGCCTGGCTACAAGACTGCCAATGCTAGTGGGGACTTAACTAAATAATTGAGCTTCCCAGTCACAGCCACCACCTGCACCCAGTAACTAGACCCTCTGACCTTAATTCTCCTTTACATCACTCAGGCTTGATCTACACCAGAGTCGATGTAAGGCATCTTACGACAACCTAATTATATCAGTGTCTACACTACAGCCTTGCTCCTGCAGATGTAAGTGCCCTACTACACTGACATCATAACTCCACCTCCACGAGAGACGTAGGGCTTAGTTAGTGTCTACATAGACACTGCGGGTTACTTATATCGACTGTTGGCTGTCATTCTTGTCAATTTTACAACTCCATGGAACAGTGAAATTGACAAGAAAGCCGGGCTGTCACCATGGGGCATGTGGGAGCTCCAGCTAGAGGCCAGTTGCCCCCCAGACTCCCCACTCGCAGCCAGGTTGCATCCTCCCTGCTTCTGACTCCCCTCCTGGCAGCTCCCCGCAGAGAGCCCGGGAACCACCTGGACTCTGGGTGAAGAGCTCCCCGCCAGGAGCCCGGGGGCAGTCAGAATCCTGGCAGCAGGGAGCGGAGAGCCCAGGGGGGAGGGGAGGGCAGGAGCTGAGAGCCGGGGGGAAGGGGAGAGGGGGAAGAGGCTCCTAGCAGGGAGCTGCCTGTGGAGCTGAGAGCCCAGACTCTCAGCCCCCCACACTGCCCCTCTTAAGTCAGGGAAGTGCTTCTGGTGGGGATGTGCACTACTGAGAGAAGGAGGGTAGTGTGGATATGAACCACCGCAGTAATGACTGGTAATTGTAAGTCGACCTAACATAGGTGGATGTAAGTTTCTAGTGTAGACATGCCCTGAGGCAGTGCCAATTATAAGGTCCTATTATACTGCTAGAGTAGTATTAAGGAACTTGGTTATAGCCTGGTCTACACTTAAAATTTAGGTTCACAAAACTACGGCGCTCAGAGGGTCTGAAAAATCCAGACCCAAGCACCATAGCTATGCTGACCAAATCCCTCATGTAGATGCAGCTAAGTCAACAGAAGAATGCTTCCATCAACCTACCATTGCTCGTGGGGAGGTGGGGGGGGGGGTTCCTACAGCAATGGGATTAACCCCTTCCCTCACCATAGGCTGTGTCTACACTATTGGGTTATATCATCATAGCTACAGCATTGTAGCTACGCCACTATACTCCCCATAGCATAGATGTGGTTTATGTCTACACTACAGATTCTACCTCTACATAGCTATGCTGGAATAGCCCCCTAGTGCAGTACTGGGTTGCGGCGGCTTTGGTCAGCACTGCCGACCGGGCCATTAAAAGTCCCGCCAGCAGTGCTGCCTGGCTAAGGCAAGCTAGTCTCTACCTGTTCTGACACTGTGCTGCGCCCTGAAAGAAAAGCTTTTGGTTTTTTGATTGGACTTATTCCTCCAGTCCAGGAGTCGGCAACCTTCCAGAAGTGGGGTGCTGAGTCTTCCTTTATTCACTCTAATTTAAGGTTTTGCGTGCCAGTAATACATTTTAACGTTTTTAGAAGGTCTCTTTCTATAAGTTTATAATATATAACTAAACTATTGTTGTATGTAAAGTAAATAAGATTTTTAAAATGTTTAAGAAGCTTTACTTAAAATTACATTAAAATGCAGAGCCCCCCGAACCGGTGGCCAGGACCTGGGCAGTGTGAGTGCCACTGAGAATCAGCTCGCGTGCCGCCTTCGGCACACGTGCCATAGGTTGCCTACCCCTGCTCCAGTCTTTGCAAAACTAAATACTGCTTCATTCTGCAAGTGGGAGTACCAGGAAGCAAAACTAACTAGTCTTTCTTCATTCTCCAAGCTAAGCACAAAGGCCCAGATTCTCAAAGGTTTCAATGGGAGTTAGGCTCCTAAATACCTTTGAGGATCTGGACCTAAATGTACATAAATATAAAGCATAAAGGGCGGACACAAAAATTTGACTTTTAAAATCTTTCAATTTTACTAATTTAAAGTTCTATCCTTATCACATTCCTTATCTATGTTACTAAATACCTTTTTCAAAAATATGATTCTTGCCCTGCCAGCAGCCTTTTAGTGCTCGTAATGTGCTTTGACACCTTTTATGCATGTGCTGTATAAGTAAGGCCCAGATCCCTCAAGGAGCTCTGTGCAGCTGCAGGAGTATGCCAAAAACTGATACTTGGTTTTAATTGTCTTCTAAAATGAGAAGTAAAACACATTTTTAAAAAGCTTTCAGCAATACTTGGTTTTGTATTGAAGTGGATATCCTAGCTTTACAAACCTTGTAATTTTCAATGTTGAAAGCAGGAGTGAGGTACATGTATTTTCCTTAACATCAATTTTACCAATAAAAAGGAAACAAATATCTGACTCACATTATTTGTCACAAAAAGGGAATTAACATGTGCATTAATGTCATCTTGAACATCTAGTGATTATTATTTCTATACAGCAGCACAAATATACGGGATCCCTGCCTCACAGACCTTACAGTTAACTGTAGTTAGATTCCCCACAAGGGTCTATTTTACACTTTATCATGACAATCACATGCGTTGAACTGGGTTATTAAAGATACAGAGGAAAGGCCAAATAGTCTCTGGATCCTTAAATGCATGGAGTAAAAAAGGAGGCGGCAGCGGGAAGAGAGACACAGGCCCTCGAGCGAGGAAGGGGGCACCTCGCAGCAGTGAGTGCCAGGCCCCCAGGAGGGGGAGAGATTCGCCATTAAAAGGAATTAAAGTCTCTGACCTGATAAACTGCACAAGCCCTTCACAGCCGGGATAAGCCTCTGCGCTGGGAGCCAGAGCATGGCTGCGCCCCCCGCAGGCATCGCGCTACTGCAGGATGCCTTGTTCTGTACGGAAACCAGCGCCCCACATCCTCTGCTCTACGGCGGCTGCCATCCCCACCCCCACGCGTGGCACCGCTCCCAGCCCCCAGCGGCCTCACATACACCACCTGCACATTGCGGGGCCTTCTGAGCCGACTACCCTGGCTGATTACGTCATCTACAAGCGCCCATCCCCTGGCGTGTCCCAAGCCTTAGGTGGCGATACAAACCGCCGCCCGTCTATAAAGGAGGTGCCTCAGGCGAGTGCTAGGGGTTGCCCGGCCAACGCCGAGTAGGGTCTTGTGTGAATCGAGGAGGCAGCTGATGACGTAACAGAGTGTGGGGGGGGTGTCGGACTGGCGCGTGGGTCGCGCGGAGGCAGGACGTGTAACGGACAGTCACACGTTCGCCTTCTAGAAGGTTCCGGCAGCCGCGTAGCGGAAGGGCCGAGAGGCGGGGCTTGAGCGGGGGCGGGGGGCTGCGGACCCCGGAGGCGGAGCCGCGGGGCGGGACCGAGGCACTGCCAGGCCTGCGCGCGGGGTAGGGCGGCCGCTGCAGCAGCAGCACAGGGACGGGAGCCCGGAGGCGGAGCTGCGCGGGGAGCGGGACGCGGGGGCTGGGAAGTTCCAGCGCGGCGGTGAGGGGGTCCGGCCGGCCATGGATCCGCGGAAGGTGAGCGAGCTGCGGGCCTTCGTGAAGCTCTGCAAGGAGAACCCGGGCCTGCTGCACAGCGAGGAGCTGCGCTTTCTGCGCGAGTGGGTGGAGAGGTGAGTCGGCGCCGCGTGCCGGGGGAGGGGCCTCCTCGCGGGGGGGTGTCGCGGGGCTGGCTGGGGGGCAGGGCGCGGCGGTCGGACCCTGGCCCCGGCGCTGCCCGGGTGCGGAGCCGTGTGCGGGGGAGCGCGATCAGCGCGCTGTCCGGGCTGGGTCTGGGGCCGGACCCTCGGCAGTAGCCAGTCTCGGGCGCTGCCCGGCCCATGGCGTAGCCTGGCGTGAGGCGCTGTGCAGGGAGGCACCGCTCCCTCCGGACACGGGGCGCTCAGCGTAGCGCCTAAACCAGGCAGTGGGAGGACCCGTGTCTTGACCCGCGTAGCTGCAGCAATTGTCCGTCTGTCTCAATAAATCTGCCCCCGATGTAACTCGGTAGTTCAGAGCCCCAAAAGTAACTAGCAGCAAGGGGCATCCACCGTATAGCACGTGTTAAACGCCTTCAAACAAGACCCTACTGCCCGAACTTTACCTGTCCTCCACCATCCAACAGGTTTTAGCCTCCTGGTTCAGAAAGCCCAAGTGATCCGATTTTACAGTCCCAGAAGTGTGTGGTGGCTTACAATACAAAGTGCCCAAAGTACTTCTTGTGAGATGTGATTTATTCCTCCGCAACCATCAATCTAGGTTCCACATAGTAAGGCACTTGCAGTATGTGTGCACTGTAGCTTTTGCTGGAAATAACATGGATTTGAGACAGGTGCTTCTCACAATGAAAATACAAGTGCTGATTGTTTGGAAACAGAAGACCAGAAATATAAGGTCTGCCAAAGTCTAGTGACTTCTACCATCCAAATAAATCTATCTATGGAATGCACCCATTTGGTTCCAACAGCTAGTTCCCTCTTGATGTTCCAGAAGAACTTGGGAAGGAGAAAATAAGTCCTTGCTGATATTTTCCTCAGAGAGGAAGGAAGCATTATTAATTGGAAATCTGGCAGTAAGTAAAAAAGACCCTGTTTTAAAAAGCGCACTCTCTTTTTTTTGAGAATATTTTGCCCACTATTGTAGGTAACATCTAAGATACCACATGTAAAAGACTAAATGAGAAACATTTTTTTAATATACTACTTACATGTCTCAAATGGGAGAGAAACATTGGAGGAAAAATAAAGCCCCCAAAATGTTGCAAGACAACAAAAACTGACAGGGGCCTGGGGCTGATGCAGTGCCTAAAACTATTAATTTTTCAAACTGATTACTTCAGGTTGAATATTCCTTTCAACTGTGTGCGTGAGAACAGGAATCTTTTGAGTTGAATATCGAATCCCTTTTTATGTATTGAGAGTGTTGAAGTTTGGGTAGTTATATAGCTTTTTCTTGAATTCAGGCATATCACATTTTACCTGTACCCTAGGGTCCAGAACCTTCTGAGTCACAAGGGCTAGAAATAAATTCCACACACCATCAACAGTACGGTATATTGCATTTTTTTCAGGTTGAGATGGTTCAAAGTATCAGAACTTAAAACTCACTCATCCTTCAGACCAACTTTGATTTAGCACTTGTTTAGGGGTATTAGTTGCAGATCTCAGAATAATACAAGTGTCTATCCCAGCATTTATTGGTTTCTTAGGGTTAATGAATTGAAAACCTCCTGAGTAAAAACCAAAAACGAATATGGTCACTCCTCTTCTCTCCCCTCCCCCCCATATGTTGAGCAAATGAACCAGTTGTTGAAAATGTTCCTAACACATTTCCTTTTCTCATTAAGCATAATAGTGGCATTAAAATGTTGTTAAAAGCATTAGATGGATGCATGTGAATCTTAATTCCTTGGTAGGGTCCATGTTGGCGCTGTAACTATTAAATATTCAAGCTATTTAGAACTCAACTAATGGCTTCCTTTCATGGATTGTGCAGAAGAGCAAGCATCCCTGTGGGCTGTAAGCACATGCAGGGTAGCCTCAACTAGTCATTAGTGTTGCTCACTTTTGCTGAGCTGCTGGCTGTTGGAGGTGGGGGGGTTACCGTGAAATCTCTTTGGGTTGGCTTTAATAAATGCTTAGAAGTTGCACCTGAAGTCTGAGAACCTGTTAAGGGCAAAAGTTTAGAAGGAACTGTTGCCATGTGCACTGCATTCCCACCTGTAACATAAAGTGAGCAAAGTAGTTACACCCAAGGGTATTTGCAGTCAGGGCCAGCCTTTGGGGTGGGCAGCGGCCCACCAAAGAGGGCACCATGTGCTGCGGCCACTGTTCCTCTCAGCCCAGCCCCTCCCCACCGCTCTTCTCGGCCAGTGGGCCCAGGGCTGCCTTCTCCCCCCCTCCCACTTGCTCCTCTGGCTGCCAGCTATGGGCTGGGGGGAGCCCTCAGGCGCTGCAGCTCCGCTGGGGGGGTGAGGAGGGCTCAGCGACAGGCCTGGTGGTTTCTGGCTGCTGCGCACCGCAGGCAGGTGGGCTCCCCCAGTGGCATGGCTCCTGCTGGCCCTGGTGCAGTACTGCTGGGAGGGTGCTGCGCATGCAGCTCTGCCCCACCATTATTTGAATGCGGAGGCTGGGGAGCGTGGGGGTCCCGGACCATTCTGGGCAGGAAGCAGCACCCAGTGGGTGCTCCTTGCTCCAGGTGAGCCCCCTCGGAGCAACTGGAGTCCCTTTGCCCCATCCCCACCACCAGCGCCCCTGGTCTAGGGAGGGGTGTGGGTTGGGTCCAATTTGGAGGGTTGACCTGGTCTTTTGGGGGCACCGCTGATCCTGATCCTAGTCTCTGTCCCTCTCTGCCTAGGAGGGAAGGGCTAGCAAGACTAGTATGAATAAAGACACTGTAAATAAAATGTATTAAATTTTTTCATATTTTTTATTTTTAAAACACTTTAAACAGTTTTTTAATTCGCCCCAATTTCATACAAAAATTTAATTCAAGCCCTGGTAGTTCATATGAGAAATGTGAAGGATGAGAGAGTGTGATGGTTCCCTTTTAGTGGGCGCAGCACATGGTTGATGTTTTGGCCAGCTTTTGCTTTTGTTAGCTGTTTTTACCCCCGCACGCTCTCTCACACACCGTCCCTCCCCACCCCACCCCTCAACACACACACCAGGACTCCCTACATCCAGGTCACTTTCCCAGCCTGCGCAGTAGTGAGGCATCAGGAGATGCTTCTCTTGTGCCCTCTCCTTATGCAGCCCAGGTGGAAAGTGACATGAATGCAGGGAACCTTGATGTTGCTCCTCGCACTCCCTCTCTTTTCCTCCTCCCCCCCCACCCCACCCCCCGCCCCAGGGGTGTGCGGAGCAGAGGAGCAGCAGTAGTCTGGGGGGGAGTGAGCAGCAATGCCAGCTGCTTTGTGCATCCAGGTCAGTTTGCCCGCGTGGGTGTAGGAGGTGGATGCAGGGGTTAGGAGTGAAGGGGGTGCAGGGATTAGGGGCCTAGGAGTGGGAACTGGCCTTTGGGGTCAAGGGAAGAAGGGGAGCCTCTGGGGGCTGGAGCATTGGGGGGGGCACCACACCCATGGGGGCCAGGGGAACCAGAAAATCCAAGTTTGCCCAAGGTGCCATTTTCCCTAAAGGCGGCCCTGTATGCAGCACTGTTTGTTATAGAATATGCTTACATACCCTATTACTTCTTATTGAGCTAAATCAGTGTTTCTCAAGCTGAGGGTTGAGACCCCAAGGGTGGTCATGGAAGGGTTTGGGGTGGGGGTCGCAAGCAGGGCCAGCGTTAGGGGGTAGAAAACAGGGCAATTGCCTGGATCCCCACGTCACAGAGGACCCCGCAAAGCTAATTTACATGTTACAGCCCTGGACCCCCGAGCAAGGCGGAAGCCCCGCACCTTGAGCTTAAGGTAGGGGGTTGCAGGTTTTTTTGGGGAGGTGGGAGTCACAATTTTTTTTTAAGTCCAAAGAGGTTGCCAGCACAAAAAGGTTGAGAAATACTGAGCTAGGCTATTCAAACACTGGTTCTCCTTCCCTGCTGCTCATCCAAAGTCTTAATGCAGCGTGTTTATGCTGCATTAAAAGGATATTGTCGAGTAAATACTACTAATCTACTAGTGTTAAAGAAACACTTGAGTACTCAAACAGATCACTATCTAGTGTTTCATTTGCATTTGATAGTATTTTGTGTATGGCAGACTCAATATTTCTGTTGTGTAGTTAGTTTGCCTTTTATTTGTGTGGACCTTTCACATACAACTTTTTTTAATGTTTTTTTATACAGCAGAACATGAATGGTTGTAGCATAAACCATTTTCAAATGGCTAGTTTTTCATTACCTGGTTCCTTCCATCAGAAAGTCTGTTCTTAGTGGGTGAAAACTGCTAGCATTTTTTAATGCTGCATTATCTAAAGATGGAAAAGGATCTAACAAAATTGTATCCAACTTTCTCCAAAACTTATCTATAGGTCAGAGAGCAGCATGACCAATTTCTGCTTTTAAAAAAAAGCAACATTTCTTTTTTAAAATGAGTGTCTTACAATAGAGAATTTAAGATGCAGGGGCCAACTGAGTCAGAACTAACTATTGCTGCATTAAGCCAGATAAAAGCGCTGGTGTGCATCTGCTTTTTGCTGTTGGATGCTTTCCCTTTGACAGATGTTGACTGGTGGGTTGGTTCCATTTCAGTTTTTCTTGGGACAGTCCTTTCTCATTCTCTTTAATTGAAACCCTGCTGAAAAGGCCGCACTTAAATAACTT